CTCGCGCATCAGACGCCTATAGATGCCATCTTCAACCATGCCGACAAGCATCCGCGGGCTTAGCACCTGAAGGTCCATCTTGAAGACGGAGTCGGGCCTGAACTTCCCGAACACCGCGGTCGCCCAGGCCTGCAGCGGCAGCGCGTTGGCGGCATACGCAGGGTCCTGCCTCCACGCCTGGCCGCCCTGAAGCGCGAACTGGATGGTCCTCGATTTACTGCCCACCTCTCCTGCCAGAGCCTTGCCGTTCAGGGCGCGGGCCCTGGCAAGCTGCTGACTGGGGACCCCGCGGACACGGGCCCCGTGCAGGATGGAAGCCAAGCCGCCAGTGCGAAACACACTGCCCAGCCGAGCTCCCGCCTTACGTAGGGCCAAGTACCTGGAAGCCTTCGTCTTGAGGCGAGCGAGGCGTCCGCGCAGGACCTTCCAGGACGCCTTTTTGTCCATCGCGTAGTCCACGCCGAGGTTGCGGGCCCCCCGGACGTACCTGAAGTCCCACTCCGCGAGCTTGCTGGCCAAGCGCTTCCCCGCATGTGGGTCGCTGGCGAGGACCTGGCCCTTGGTCAGCGACACCTTGAAGCCCAACTCCTCCAACAGGCGGCAGAGCATCCTCGTGGCGCCCAGGATGGTCGCCTCGATCCTCCTTCTCTTCCTCCTCCACCTCCTCCTCCTCGCCCTCTCCCTCCGCTTCCTCCTCCTCCTCCTCCTCCTCCTTTTCCTCCTCACCTGGTTCCTTAGTCCCTAATGCCCCTGATCTTGAGGACGCGCCTGATCTTGTCGCTGCTGCTGTTTATGCTCCTGATATTGCTGACGTTCCTGCTCAGATTGCGTTTCTTCCTCCTCCTCCTCCTCCTCCTGGAACGTCGTCCGTGGAAGCTGGTCCGCATAGATGGCCGAAGCTCGGACATCCTGCCGCTGCGGGCGCGGCAACTGCATGCCACTACCGGTACCCCGTTGGAGCCCGATGTGGTTTGGATGGCCACCCCTGTCGATGGACAGGCGTCGGCATCCAAAGGCGGCGCGCCGATGGGTGCAGGAGGACGGGGCTTGGCTTCTCAGCAGGCAGGGTGCCTCTCAGAAGCCCTGGGAGGACTTCTCTTTTGTCCTCCAGGGGGTTCTGCGAATCACGTTTCTGATTATATAGCCTTGCCCAGTTTCCCTCCTGGCCCCTTAGGCGCGCCGCCAACATCTCGAGCCCACACCCAGGATGCCCAAACCTGTTCTTTGGCAGGCCTGACATCCAAACCCTCGCAACGAGGGCACAGCTGGGCATTCGAGGAAGCTGGTCCGCGTAGACGGCCAGAGCTCGGCCATCTGCCGTTGCGGGCGCGGCAGCTGTCTGCCAGTCCTGGTATCCTGTGGGAAGCAGCTTTGGCTTGGATGGCCAGCCCTGTCGGTTGACGGGCGTTGGCATCCACAACTTCGAGCCTAGAGCTAGGATGCCCGCTCGTGTCTCCAGGGAACTCATGGGCATCCGACCCTCACAACGAGGCCATAACTAGGCATCCGAGGCACTCGGTCTGCATAGATGGCCGAAGCTCGGACATCCTGCCGTTGCGGGCGCGGCAACGTACCCTCACGTCGTGTGGTACGGGGTTAAGGCGCCTCGTATGCCATATCGTTTCAGGTCCTCCTCCTCCTCCTCCTCCTCCTCCTCCTCCTCCTCCTCCTCCCCCTCCTCCTCCTCCTCCTCCCCCTCCTCCTCCTCCTCCTCCCCGTCCCCCTCCCCTCCTCCTCCTCCTTATCCTCTTCTTCCACCTCTCTCCTCCTCCTCCTCCTCTCCTCCTCCTCCTCCTCCTCCTCCTCCTCCTCCTCCTCCTCCTCCTCCTCCTCCTCCTCCTCCTCCTCCTCCTCCTCCTCCTCCTCCTCCTCCTCCTCCTCCTCCTCCTCCTGTCTCCTCCACCCCTCACTTATCCTTTTCTTCCTCCCCCTCTCCCCCCTCTTCCTCCTCCCCCTTCGATGGGGGGGGGGGCTGAAGTCTAGCCGCCCTCGTTTTTCCGCCGTAGCCTCTAAAATGGCCCCAAGAGGCCCCCCAGACCTCCCCACTGAGTCCCAAAACGACACCCAGAAGGTCCTAAAAGGGCCAAGCTGGCTTCCAACATGAATCTAACATAGTTCCGCCAGGCCTTCGAAGCACTTCCAAGAAACTCGCAGATCGAAAGCTCCGCGTAGGCTTGCTTCTTGGACGAAAGACCGACCGTTCGGTACTACCTTCCTCTCAGCGGCGGTTAGCTGCGACCCTGGATGCCCCTCGGGAAATGGCGGCCGTGTCCACTGGCCAGGTGCACCTGTGATCCGTACGAGGTGCGGTGATGTCTGTCCCCACCGCCCCTCTCCTCGGGTCCCCCTCGGGCCGGGCTCAGGCCACGCCCCCTGCCCTTGGACTTCGAGGTGGTCTCTTCCTTGCGCCCCACCCTCGCCGGACGCCCCTTGGGAGCCCCTCAGCGTGGGGGGTCGGTGATGTCTGTCCACACCGCCCCACCCTCCGGGTCTCCCCCAGGCTGGGTTGCCGCCAGGTTTGTATCCTGGTCTCGGAGGCTTTCGTCCCCACACCCCAGGGCTGCCCAGGACCCCCGCTGACAGCGGTAACGTTACCTCACCTTCAGCGGCGATTAGCTGCGACCCTGGACGCCCGCGTGGAATGGCGGATTCGACGGTGGCCCTGGATCCCTGCAGGGAATGACGGATTCGGCGGATAAGGCCGTCCCACGGTGGCCTTCGGCGTACATCAAGCGGCTGCCGCCGTGCAGTTCCACCCTGGACGCCCCACCTTGCTGGCGATGTTCTTCCCCACCAGCTTGGCCTCACGCAGCGCTTCAGCCAGCGCCCGCGCAGCCGTACGTGGATGGCCCCCTGCAGGATCGATGGCTACTCATGTTGCGCGGGTTGGCGGCCCCTGGAGGTCAGCCCGCTTCGAGTGGTTCAGCCTTCGCAGCCACGGCCGCCCCCCGGGCCCGTCCCACCCCAAGCTTGGTATTCGACGTTCCTCGGCGGAGCAGCACAGCTGGCTCGCACACGCCGTTGGCGCGGCTTGGGCTTGGCGCCCCACTGGCGACGGCCCATCGCTTACCACGTCTGGACACTCCGACGGCATGTTGGACGCGCCGCCCACAGCTATCGTCCTCATGCTCCTTCGGGTTTGCCACTCGGCACCTCTTGAATTCACCCACCAGCATTTTGCCGTGTTGCAAGTGCTCGAGCACCCTGGATGCCCCCTGCTTGCAGCTTCTCCCGCGCAGTCAGCCGCTGCTGTATGAGTGGACCGGCCGGCTTGCGGCGCGTCTAGCTGCTAATTAGGCCGATGTCGTGACCCGTAGCGCTTCTGACTCCGCTTGCGCCTTCGCTTGCGGACGCGACCAAAAAGTAGGCTTGCTTGTGTTTGCTTCCCCGGATCACCAGGAATACCATATCTGAGTATATCACAAGGGCAAATAATACATGCATCCCACGACGGGCAACGCTGTGCCCAATCGGAGAAGAGAGGGAGGTGAGAAAGGGAGCAGGGCAAGTAGATTGAGCAAACCCAAAACAAGAAATGGTCGCATTGGACCGATTTGCAAGCCGTGCGCTACACTCGCCGTCACAGATTCGATGCTGGCGCCAGACGCAAACGAGTGGGGGGTAAGAGCACGCCCCAAAGATAGACAACAGACAACGTAGGCTATAAGCTAAAAGACAATGCCGATGGCGTCCCACATCGACACCCTGTCGCTGGCGGATCGCACATCGACGACACAATGACTAGCACACGATCAGGTAAATATTCACACAATTCTTAAAAAGCAACTCAGGTCTGGCCGGCAGAAAAAAGAAGGCCAATGCCGGCGGTACGTGAGCAGCTCGGCCTCAGAACTGCTGCGCGCTCGCTATGCTGCGGCCAAGGCCGATTCCTCCTGAATGCTGCCGAGGAGCTTGGCCTGCTTGCTCTCCCCGCTCTTCTGCCGCTGGAACTCGCTGGCTCCGCTCAACTGCCGCTCGAACTGCGACTCCAAAGCCACCGACTGCTGGATTGTGTCCCCTAGAGAATGGACATAGACATCGTGGACAAGGGCGAGGCTGCAGTACAAGCCCGAAGGCATGAGTAGCGTCCAGAGCTTGAGAGCGTTGTACGCGATGGAGCCCAAGCACGCGCCTCCAATGAATCCGACAAGGAGAAGACTCATGAGAATCACCTTGTTTCTGTCCGCAGTATGCTCTTCCCAATCTTCTGGCGCAAAGTTTCTGCATTTGGACAGAAACCTGGAAATGATTCGACCAACGGCCAAGCCCAGGTCCGTGCCCGTTCCGGTCATGTGAGTCGTGCGAATGACGTTTCCGCTCCAAGACGAGCAGAGCCCGTTCTGAAGGCCGCAGCCAAGGGCCAAGAGGTGCGCGCCGAGAAGACCGTGGCCGCTCAAGACGATCGGACTGGCAATGATGAGCGCGAGAATCATGAGGGCTGACGAGTAGGGCGCCTTGCCGATCTTAAGCGTCGCCTTGGGGATGAGCAGGCCGCACAGGGTTGACCCGATGATGAAGTCAAGAACGAGCAGCACGGGCGTTGGCACATCCCCAGGCTGGTCTCCAAACTGGCGGAGCCCGATCGCCGTGGAAGAGCCGGAGACGTGGCTGACGTACGTACCGAACTTGGCGAACGCCACAGCATTGACCATTCCAGCGCAGATCGCCAAGGTCAAGCCGCTCACGTGCAGTTGCTGCTGATGGCCTCGAGCACTGCAAGCCTATCCTGGAGAGCGGTGCGAAACTGGCGGCTGTCGAGCGCTTCGCCTATTGACCCCAAAGCCTTGTCGCTGATCATCAGTGACTCCGAGCGTTGCAACGTGCTGGGCATCTTCGCGTAGAAGTGGGCCTTCTTCCACTCGCGAGCGAGCAAGTAGGACTCTGAACCACTGGATTGAGATAGGCAACTTGAGCCAAAATGGCTTGAGGCTTTATGGTTGACTCGACTTTGTCGCTTTCGCCTTCATCATCGTCTATCGTCTCATTCTTCCTCCGCCATCCTTCTACTGGTTGGTCATCATCTTCTTCTTCCTCTTCTTCTTCCCCTCGTCCTACTCGTCCCTTGTTCTGTTCGTCCTTCCTGCTCCGATTGTCAAAGATCCGCCACCGCGCCCCCTGGCACGTTGGGGCGTGGAAAAATGCCAAGGTCTGTCTGGTAGGGTTTCAGACAGGACCACCCCTCCCTCCACAAGCAGACTCTTGCGTGCATTCCCCTCCTTGGATGGTGCACTTCCAGCTCGACAGCGAATACCCGATCCCAAATTCCACGCGTGCCCGCTCGAGGATGGTGCACTTCCCGCGTGGCAGCTAATGCCTGAACCCCCGTGCACGCGCGCCCGCTCAAGGATGGTGCACTTCCCGCATGGTAGCGAATGCCTGAGCCCTCGTTCCAGGCGCACCCGCGCGAGAACAATGCACTTCCCGCATGGCTGCTAACTCCTAGACCCCTCACCCCACGCGCTCCCGCTCGAGGATCGTGCACTTCCCGCATTCCCAGGCGTTGCTCCCAAGTGCTCAAGGACCTCCCAAGCCACGATCTCCCCAAGACGGCCCAAGAGGGCCCCACGGGATCCCTATAAGACTGCCTCTGAGGAGGCCTAGGCAGCCCCAAGACGGCCCACGCGAGTTTCATTGCATGACCTCAGCATCATCACCACCATCATCACCTCGACCATCATCATCAGCACCAACACCACCACCACCACCATCATCATCATCCTCCTCCTCCTCCTCCTCCTCCTCATCATCATCATCATCATGATCAACATCATCATCACCAGCATCAACATCAACATCATCATCGTCATCATCACCATCCTTATCATAATCATCGTCATCATCATCAGCATCATCATCACCATCATCATCAGCAGCATCAGCATCACGTAGCATTATCATCAGCAGCAGCATCACCATCATCATCATCATCAGCATCATCAGCATCATCATCATCGTCGGCAGACGCAGTATCCTCCTCATCATCATCATCATCATCATCATCATCATCATCAGCAGCAGCATCATCATCATCAGCCTCATCATCATCGGCACCCTCGTCATCAGCGACAGCATCATCAGCATCATCATCACCATAACCAACAACGTCAGCATCATTGTAAGTATCGTCATCATCAGCAGCATCATCATCATCAGCAGCGCATCGTGAGCAGAATCATCATCAGAAGCAGTAAAAAACAGCAGCATGGTCAACATCCGCAGCATCATCATCACCATCATCATCAGAATCAGCATCAGCAGCTGCATCAGTATCAGCATCACCACCATCACAATCACCATCATCACCACCACCATCTTCAGCACAGTCATCATCATCATCATCAGCATCATCATCATTACCAGCAGTGCCACCATCATCACCATCATCAAAATCAGCATCCCCATGACCAGCATATACATATCATCACCATAATCAGCAGCAGCATCATCATCGCCGTCGAATCATAAACATCATCATCAGCATCCTCAGCATTACCATCATCATCAGCATCCTGATCAGCATCATAAGCATCACCAGCATCGCCATCAGTATCAACATAAGTATAACAATCGGAATCGCCATCAGCATCAGCAACAGCATCAGTATCACCATTATCATAATCATCTGCATCATCATCATCATCGTCGCCATCAACATCAACATCATCGTCATCACCAGCCGCATACGCCGCATCAGCATCAGCCTCATCCTCATTATCACAAGCATCATCATCATAAGCGTCATCATCATTTTCATCACATCATCATCATCATCGTCGTCATGACCATCATCCTGATCACCATCAGCATTATTGTCCGCAGCACTCGCAGCCGGTGTATCAGCGTCGTCATCATCATCGCAAGCAGCATCATCACCATCATCATCAGCATCTGCAACATCGCTATCATCATCAGCATCATCAGCATCATCAGCATCATGATCATCACATTCATATTCATCTTCATCGTCATCATCAGCAGCAGCATCATCAGCACCAGAATGATAAGCAACGTCATCGTCATCGTCATCGTCGTCATCATCATCGTCATCCTCCTCCTCATCCTCCTCCTCATTACCACCACCATCACCATCATCATTATCATCGTCTTCGTCGTCGTTGTCGTCATCACCCCCTAGCCTCCTTATAATCCTCATCATCCTCATCACGGCCCGAAACTGGAAGACACAAGGTGTCACACGTGACGGCATCCCCCCTCGAACAGTCGCCACCCAGAAAGCTGGGCTGGCACGGTAGCGGGATTTGCCGCCTGCAGCGGGGTTGCGACATTCCTGCTCCGAGAGGGTCCCGAAACAACTCCACGAGGGCCTCCAGCACAATCCAATGGAGCCGCCGTGGCATTTGAATAGTTGTTAGAATCGTTCGACACATTTCCAGGGCGGCTGTTCCACCGCCTGCTTCGACACTTAGACCGATCTAAACAACTCGCCTGGCGTGACTGCGCCTCTGAACGCGCTCGGAGCACCACGGAACACGTCCGAAAACCTCAAGCATCGAATCCTCATGCTACCCACTCCTCCCCTCGAGCTCTCGGCCCTCTCGCAGCAGAGGACCCTCCTGTCGTCGCCCTCCTCCAACGACAGCCGAGACGATCCTCCTCGAACACCCCTCCTCCATCTCGAACCCCCCCTCCTCCTCCTCCTCTTCCTCCTCCTCCTCCTCCTCCTCCTCCTCTCCTCCTCCTCCTCCTCCTCCTCCTCCTCCTCCTCCTCCTCGAACCCCCCTCTTCCTCCTCCTCCTCCTCCTCCTCCTCCTCCTCCTCCTCCTCCTTCTCCTCCTTCTCCTCCTCCTCCTCCGCCTCCTCCTCATCCTCCTCGACAAGCAGCGACGGCCAGGATCGGCGAGCGCGTGCTCCCGGGGGCTCCGCCGACCCCCCCGCGCTGCCCCCCCTCCTGGGCGAGGGCCAGCCAGCGCCCCACCGCCGCCAGCGCAACGGCGGCCAGGTGCAGATGCATGTCCTCCTCGGTCACCCTGGGCCTGCCATTGCAGGAGGGGGAGGAGGAGGAGGAGGTGGAGGAGGAGCAGGAGGAGGAGAAGGAGGGAGGAGGCTGCGATGTTGGCGCCAGGACAGGCGACCGACCCTGCGGCGCGCAGATCTGCCCCCGAAGAGGAGGGAGGGTCGGACGTCTGCCGGGGGGAACGAAAGGGGGGGGGTAGCACAGGGTAGGGTAGAGAATCAGCTCACGTAGCTAATTTTCCCAGCGCCTCCCGGCGCGGGGAGGCGCCCATGTATCGAGGCACGGGCCCGGCGGCGGGGCCGAGACCAGCTGCATGCAGCAGATTTCGTTACCCCCCCCTTCCCTATCCCTCCCTTGCATTCGGCCCGACAGGAGGGAGGGTCCGACGTCTAGGCTTTTCGGACGCTCTCGCTGGCGTTCCGAGGGCTCGAGGGTTCGAGGAAGCTCGAGGTTTTCGGGCCTCCCCGTCGCTGCTCGGCGGCTTTCCAGCCTCGGTCACCTTGGGCCTCCCGCCGCAAAAGGGGGGAGGATGAAGAGTCAGAGGAGGGTGAGAAGATGGAGGGGGGATGAGGAGTGAGAGGAGGATGAGGAGGAGGAGGAGGAGGAGGAGAAGGAGGACGAGGAGGAGGAGGAGGAGGAGGAGGAGGAGGAGGAGGAGAAGAAGGAGGAGGAGGAGGGAGGAGGGGGACGAGGAGGAGGGGGAGGAGGAGGGGGACGAGGAGGAGGGAGAGGAGGAGGAGGTGGACGAGGAGGAGGAGGAGGAGGAGGAGGAGGTGGATGAGAAGGAAGAGGTGGAGCAAGAGGAGAGCCAAAGAAGAGGAGGAGGCAGTTCGAGGAGCTGGCGCGCCGTGCGTCGCCCGCGGTCTCGCCCTGGCGAGCCTGGGAGGGAGGGAAGGAACCAGACCAAAAACATTAGAGATAATGGTATGTTTAGGTCGGGCATGTCCCCCTACAGGCGCATTTTGGGCGAAAAATGCAAAATATTCAAAACAATACACCAAAAATCTCCCCCCCCCCCAACAAAAAACGTCCCCAAGCTATTGTTCCCTATTTTTGAATCATCCTCCTGTAGAGGACAGTCCCGACTTAAAGAAAGGGTCATTAGCTAACAGCGAAGACTGATAGGTTTCTAATGGGGTCAAAAGAGAGCATCTGATGACTCCCCGGAAAGGTCTGGGCGGGAGCTGGACAGGCGAGAACCGGGCTCGTTTTAAGCAAACAGTCACACACTTCGTGCTCTTCGACCTCCCAGAACTCCATTCCCGGGCCACATTTTGAATGCCCGGAGCCAACTGTAGGCCACTTCGTGCTCTTCGACCTCCCAGAACTCCATTCCCGGGCCACATTTTGGATGCCCGGAGCCAACTGTAGGCCACTTCGTGCTCTTCGACTTCCCAGAACTCCATTCCCGGGCCACATTTTTGATGCCCGGAGCCAACTGTAGGCCACTTCGTGCTCTTCGACTTCCCAGAACTCCATTCCACGGGAACTGTCCATTTCGGAAATTCCCCACATTTTGGATGCCCGGAGCCAACTGTAGGCCACTTCGTGCTCTTGGACTTCCCAGAACACCATTCCCGGGCCACATTTTGAATGCCCGGAGCCAACTGTAGGCCACTTCGTGCTCTTCCACTTCCCAGAACTCCACTCCCGGGCCACATTTTGAATGCCCGGAGCCAACGTTACGCCACTTCGTGCTCTGCTACTACCACTGCTCCCATCACTCCTACTTGTTCACTCCACACACTACAACTACTACTTCACTGCTACCACTACTACCATCACTACTACTTCTACTGCTACTACTACTGTTACTATTACTGCTGCTGCTGCTGCTGCTGCTGCTGTTGCTGCTGTTGCTGCTGCTAGTGTAGCTATTGCTACTGCAACTACTGGCAGTGCCACTGCGACTGCCGCTGATGTTGCCACTGCGACTGCCACTGCGAATCCGAGTGCGACTGCGAGAACACCAGAATTCTACAACAGCACTCTTACATGAATACCACAGGCAATGTTTCCAGCTATGCTTCTACACATCGCTGTTAGGTTGCTTTGCTGGGATAATTGTGTTCTCGATGATGGGTGGTGCAACTCCATGCGTCCTGAACTACGTCCAGGCTTAAGCTGCGGCCCCTCACCCGCGGCGAGGCTGAACCCCTGCCACCCTGCCCCGCCAGATAATCACCAGGCGAGCCTAGGAACGAGGGAGGGAGGGAGCCTGGGGAACCAGACCCCCTCGAGTCGCGGAAAAAAACACAAACCTGGGTTTCACGTTATGTTTAGAACTTCCAGGGGGCCTTACCAGCCCTCGGGGCCATTTAAAGACGGCTCAGGTTGCAGGGCCAGCCCCTGGGAAGGTTGCCAAAACTCTCGGGCTCCTCCTCGGTCACCTTCGGCCGGCCGCTGCAAAAGAAACCTGGCATCGCATTGTTGCTCGCGCCTCCCGATTTTTACCTGTCCCCGAATCTCCGACAACATGATTTGTCAGTCCGGGCGTTTTTCACTCCATGCGGGCCATTGAAGCCCCAGGGCCATCACAAACGGATCCTTGGGACCGCATATTGAAAAGAAAACATCGGCGGATGTTAGGGTTTCGAGCACCGGCACCCTCGCGAATCGATCTGGTTCGAAAACAAAAGAACGACCGAACGAACGACCGCCGGAGCCGTGCATGCTCCACCAGGGACCCCAGCCAGCCCACGCCGACCCCGGCCGAGCGCAGAGGCCGCAGTCTCAAAGTAGGGCAACGGGAGGAGTTGGAGGAAGTGGGGTTGCACGTGGACTGGAGGAGGAGTGGAAGCAGTGGCGGCCTCAACTTTCGCCTCTAACTGCGGTGTGTGATCACATGCTCGATCATCGAACATGCAGTTACCGTCGACGACGACCTCTTGCATTATTTGACGGACATGCTCACATAATTTTTGAGCGCAAGTTACTGGAGGGCGATGGATGGGGGAGAAGAAAGGTGCCCTTTTCTGGCCCTGGGGACACCCTCTGGGGCCCTGAAGGGCCCCTCCCTTGTCTACAGTCCTTGCTGCCCCCCATGTATCGCCCCCCCCAACGCGCCCCCTGGATTATAAAGATCGGTTGCCTGCCAGCAGACTGGAGAGGCCATTTTTTTCTGTAACCAAAATACACGGCATCATAAATGCAGAATCAATATGAAAAGCAGTTTGGTGTCGAGAAAACCCGGTCGATTTTCGACGCTTTGATCGTTGCTCCCCTGACGAAGAGCGTCGACTTCAACGAAGACCTGCGGCTGGTTAGCGTGAATCTGCGCCAAACCTTTGACCGGGTTGAACGGGAAAAGCTATCCCTGGGCCCCCCGTGCACAAAGAACCTCTTCTGGGTACTGTCCCAAACTGGAACCGTGGGTGATGACTTCCGCGTTCCCAGCAAAACGGGGCGCCTGACACGGCGACGTGCTATCACCTCTCACGCTCGACAGTGTCCTGCAAGTTGCAATCCGACGGTGGTGGGCGAAATGAAGAGGCAAGGAGATCGTGGAGTATACGGGCTGTTACGCGAGACGCGCAGGTTTTCATGCTTCATGGCCACCTCATCCTCGTCCTCCCGCTCATCATCCAGGTCATCTTCTTCACCATCGCTGCGCAGATAACTTCGCGATCTGCTGGTATTTGGGAGAACTGCCATCCGACAGAAAACGTGCCGCACCGACATGGTCCTCGACATCCCAGCCCATTGCCAACATGCGTGGGCTTGGAATTCCGAGGACCATGTTCGGGAAACATGTCGTTGTTCTCCCGATTTCCTGACGGTGCCTCGGCGCCGCGAGTGTGCATTTCCACGCAGACTGCGGAAGCTTAGCCCTGCTAAGCTGTTCAAAGCCTTGGTCAGCCCTGGCAGACTCTGGTGACAAGCCGCGAAACTCCTTGCCATGTTCTTCTCGGCCCTGGTAAGCTCTGCTAGTATCACTAACCTCTGGCAATTATAACGAAGCCCTGCTACAGACTGGAAAGTTATGCGAAGCCCTGCTCAGGACTGGCAAACTCTGCTAAGCCCTGCAAAGCCTTGCTAAGCCTTGTTCAGCCTTGCTCAGCCATGACATGCATTGCTCAGCACTGCTAATAGTTGAAAAAATCTATACCCTGCTGAACTCTGCTGAGCCATGCTGAGCCCTGCTGAGCCCTGCTCAGACTTGGTAAATCTCGCTAAGCCCTGGTAGAAGCCCTGCTGAGCACTGCCAATCACTACGGAGGCCTGCCAGCCACTCCTGAGCCCAGACAAGCTCTGCGAAGTCCTGTTAGGTCCTGGCACGCCATGCTGAGCCCTGGCACGCGTTGCCATGCCCTGCTCAGCTCTGTTGGGCCCTGCTAAGGTTGGTAAGTCTCGCGACGCCCATCAAAGCTCGGCAACTTGCTGAGCCATGTTAAGCCCGTGCTGAGCGGTGCAATGTATGCGAAACGCAAGCCCTGCTGGACTGTGCTGAGCCCTGCGAAGGCTAAGAACTGCTGGGCTTTGATAAGCGTTCGCGAGCCCTGCCCAGGCCGTGGCAACCTTGATAAGCTCGACTATGCCTGCTAAGCCCTGGCAAACTCTGTTGAGCCCTGCCCATTCCTGGCGATAAGGCCCAGCGTTGCGAACAGCAGCTGATGTCCCAGCCTCGAAATATGCACCCAGGGATCACCCCGAGGCACCCCCGTTACACCCCCTCCCCCCCCCCCCCCCCACGCACACACACACACACACACACACACACATCCCCTGACATCCCCGCCACATCCCCGTTACATCCCCGACGCCAGCGCGAACCGCAGGGGATGCGCAGGGGATGCATCGAAATCGTTGCCGTTCGCACTGAAAAACACAAGTTTGTCATGAACGCTGCTTTGACCCGCAAAATTGGTTTGAACCGTACAAAAAAACGGCTTTTAGTCGCAATGTGGTTCTGAGCATTGAAGTGGCTTTGAGCAGTAAAGTGGTGACGGAGGAGGAAAAGAAGGGGAATCGAGCAGACGAGAGGGGGGACACGGTCGAGGAGATCCCTATTCCTCCTCC